CCCCCCAGTGGGGATGGCCACGCTGCAATCCCTTCTCCTCCATTCTCCTCTCGGGATCTTGGGCACGCAAGCACACGCGCCCAGCGTGAGTTTAAGCCACCGGGTCCGGGACTCAAACCACGGTCGACTCCATGGGAGTCCAGTGACATAGCCATTGCGCTAACTGTTGGTCCCATGAAATATTATTTAAAAATATTATGAAAGAGAATAATCAAGAACAAGGACTACTTTTTCTCTTTTGGAGAGGTTTATGTTTTAGGGTGCGTGCACTCATCACAAAGACAGAGACAGAGAGACAGAAAGTGAGAAGTCACCCCTCCAGGGGGATTGGCCATACCATAATCCCTTCTCCTCCATTCTCCTCTCGGGATCTTGGGCACGCAAGCACACGCGCCCAGCGTGAGTTTAAGCCACCGGGTCCGGGACTCAAACCACGGTCGACTCCATGGGAGTCCAGTGACATAACCATTACATCAACTGCTGGTCCCAGAAGAGGGACTACTTTTTTTTTTTTTTAAGAATTATTTATTTAACTTTATTTATTATTTATTTTAATTTGGCCAGAGAGGGATAATGAGAGAGAGAGAGAAGGAAAGTGAGAAAGCAAGCCGCAGGTCCAGGACTCGAACCGCAGTCAGCCATGTGGGAGTCCAGCGCCCTTAACCACCACGCCACCTGCCGGCCCCAAGAGGGACTCTTTTTTTTTTGAGAGGTTTTTGCTATAGGGCGCGTGCACTCGCCAGATAGACACAGAGAGACAGAGAGACAGAAAGCGAGAAATCACCCCCCAGTGGGGATGCCCCGCCACAATCCCTTCTCCTCTGTTCTCCTCTCGGGATCTTGGGCACGCACGCACATGCTCCCGGCGTGAGTTTTAAGCCACCGGGTTCGGGACGCAAACCACAGTAGATACATGGGAGTCCAGTAACAGCCATTATGCTAACTGCTGGTCCCGAGGAACTATTTTTAATTGGCTGGCCAGGGAAGAACTCAAAAAGGTGACATCTGAGCAAAGATCAGCTTGTCAAGAGGGAGACAGGCATGGAAAGATCAATGGGAAGAAATTCCAGGCAAAGGGCATGCAGGAACAGAGGCAGGACCAGGAAGGAGCTTGGTGAGTCTGGAACAGCCTGAAGGCCATTGTGACTGGGCAAAGTGGGTGGGGCAGAGAGTGGTACCAGACAGGGTGGAGAGGTGGGTGAGAGCCAGATCATGAAGGACCCTTATCAGCCCTGATAAAGGCTTGGAATTTGGAATTGAAAAAAAAAAAGCAAATATCTCAAGGTCTCCTAGGGCAGAAACATTCTATCATGAATAAAATAAGTACATTTAAAAAATAATAAAATAAGACTCTGGATTTAATTAGAGCAAAGGTAGCTTATATCTCCACTGTCGCAGCTGAAGAATTGGAGTTGAGTGGCACTGGTCATCATGCGTCAGTGACTTCTGATCGCCTGTCCAAGGAACTCAGACATAGTGGTGGGTGGGCCATGACAGACACATAGATCTCTTTTTAATTTGTGTCCTCTCTTAGGGTGTGGATGGAGGGCAGAAAGGGGATTGCTGGGGCTGACTGAACTAGAGAACAAAAGCCCTGCAAAAGAAGCAACTCTTACTGAACAGTATCTCTTTTTCTTTTGTCTCTTTGTTTTTTGCTATAGGGCACATGTACTCGCCAGAAAGACAAAGAGAGACAGAGAGACAGAAAGCGAGAAATTATCCCCAGGGGGGATGGCCACGCCACAATTCCTTCTCCTCCATTCTCCTCTCAGGATCTTGGACACGCACGCACACGAGCCCAGCATGAGTTAAGCCACCGGGTCCGGACTTGAACTGCAGTCAGCTACATGGGAGTTCAGCAACATAGCCATTATGCTAACTGCTGGACCCTCTCTTAAAAAAAAAAACAGAATTACTATTATTATTATTTTAAATTTGACCAGAGAGAGACAGAAAGAGAGAAAGAAAGAAAGAAAGAAAGCAAGCTGCCAGGTCTGAGACTCGAACTGTAGTCAACCCTGTGAGAGTCTAGCACCTTAACCACCAACACTAACTGCCGACCCCAGCATCTCTCTTTTTTAAAAATTTTTCTAGAGGGTATATGCACTCATTAGAGAGAGAGAATCAAAGCACCCCATGGGGGAATGATCATGCCATAATCGCTTCTCCTCCATCTCTTTTTGGGATTTTGGGCATGTATGCACACGCACCTGGTGTGTTTTTCGAGCTGCTGGGACCAGGACTCGAACTGTGCAATTGGCCATATGAGATCTAGCTGCCTTACCCACCATGCCACTGGCTGGCCCACAGCATCTCTCTTAATTAATCTCCATATGGTTTGGGTTCTATTGTAGAAGAGTTCTATATGCTTTTGGTTCTATTGTATTCTCATTTTACATATGAAGAAACTGAGGCTTAAAAGGTTCAGTAAATTGTGCTGCCTGCTAGGTGAGGACACAGGAGAGCCAGGGCTGGATCACAGGCCTCTGGCCATTCCTAATCTCACAGCATTGTCCTGCTTCCCCAAGTGGGAGAAGTCACTTCATCTTACTTTTGGTCTTCCAAGCAAGCACAAGGGAAGTACAGGTTTTCTTTGCCCTATCCCTTTCAGAAGGCAATCAAGTCCCTGGGTATTATTTTCCAAAGTGGAGTTTCCCAGGATCCACTGCAGCTGGGATTTAGAGTCTCATGGTGCAGACCGAGTTGTAGGGTCCCAGCCAGGAGTACTTGTCTGGAACTTCTAAGAATCTCACAACTGTGCCACATGCCTTAGCTTTATCCAAGCAACAGAAGGAGGTGGTGAAGGCAAGCCGGAGGTGGCAGCAGCAGCGGCAGCAGCAAATCTGTCCCCAGAGCACTACAGCACTGTTTTGCTATGATGAGATATACATGGCATATGGCTGCAAAGTTACTATCTTGAGAGCAGATAGAAGTGAGATTTTTTCATGTGCCAGATTTGGCTTCCCTTTCTGAAACACTTGTAGTAAACAGAGGTTTTCTGATCTTGTTAAGATCTGAGGATGGGAAATCCTTTACACTTTTGAAGCAAAACCACTGTCCTGTAGAGTTCGTTTGTTGGTGGTGCAAATGTTTTTAAAACATGCAAGCTATTCGATGCTCCCTCCTCCAAAGGCCAGGGCAAGAAGAAGAGCTGCCACCACAGGTAACCAAACCCATTCCAGTTACAGATCACTCTGGTGGCAAGACCAATGTATGTCGCATGTCGTCCTATGGCTGCCGTGCCTTGGCAGATGGGATCGGGAAAAGGAAAGGCTTTTGAGTGTGGGAGGCCCCAAGGTGGGGGAGGCAGGGAAGGACCAGGAAGGGAGCAGAATGTGACGTTTAGGAAAATTATTTTGAATCATGTCTTGGGTGCTGACAGCATAATGATCATTATTAGGACCTCAGATGTAACACAAAGCCCGCCCTGAAGTTAAATTTTCCCTTTCAGATAAGAGTGGCCTGTCAGCCCAGCATAAGCTGGCACCATGCCAACCTCCTCCACGACCGGGGCTGTGGAATGCTCTAGCTGCTCTCTTCCTGTTAGCTTTCATTAAGGACTTTGCTTTTTTGATAAGTAAGGGCCCCATTTTTCTACCTGAGTCTATTAAAATCAAGCTGTGTAAACACCCCAGATGCTATTTGTAGTTGTTTTTGTTTGTTCTAGCTTTTGCTAAAGGGTGCAAGCATTCTCCAGAGAAGAGGGGAGAAATGAGAACTCAACTCCCCCTGCCCCAGGGAGGATGGCTCACTGCAACTCCCTCTCTTTCATTTTCCTCTCAGGATTTTGGGCATGCACACACACAAGCCCGGCAGCATGTCCTCCAAACTGCAGGGTCAGGAACTGAACCACACAGTTCTACGTTTGGGATCCAGCTGCCTTAACCATCATGCCACCCACTGGCCCATGCAGTTTTCTACCTGTAAGTTTGGGAGTTAGTTTTAGGGCTGTAAAAACCCTACGTTCCAGGAACCCTCCTGGACACAATGTGTCCCTCTAACGGGTAGATCTGTGGCCTGAATATGCCCAGATTTTGTTTGGTTTATATAATGTTTTGAAAACTGGTTTTCACAACAAAATCCTATTTGCTTGCTTCTCTTGAAAAATATAAAATCTGGCCACATTACCTTGTGGCAAGCAGCTGCGGCTGGAGTGGAATAATAGTTGCTCACTTTGCACAATTTGTTTTCTGGTTTGCCATAGTCTCCAGCATTCCCTATCATCCTCCATCCATACCCTAAGAGAAAGTAGAAGCTAAAAGGCAGATATGGAGGGACCAGCAGATGGTGTAACGATCATGTTGCTGGACTTCCATGTAGTCAACCGTCGTTTGAGTCCTGGACCTGGCAGCTTAAAAAAACTTGTTTCGGGTGTACGTGCCTACGTGTCCAAAATTGTGAGAGGGAAGGGATTGCATTGTGGCCATCCCTCCTGGGGGGTGATTTCTTGCTTTTTGTCCTCAGTCTCTCTGGCAAGCACATGTACCCTATAGCAATAATCTCTCTCTCAAAAAAAAAGGCAGATATGGATATATGGGTTCCAATTCTTGACCACATCACTTACTTCCTGTGGCTCCTTCCTGTCTCTGTTTCCCTCTAATAGCTTTTTTTTTTAAGAAATTTTGCTTTAGGTAAGTTGCACTCACCAGAGAGAGACAGAGACAGTAAGAGGGAAAATGAGAAGTCACCACCTTAGGGGTTGGGAATGCCACAATTCCTTCTCCAGTCTCCTCTTGGGATTTTGGGCTCACGTACACACACACTCCATGTGCTTTTGTCGTTGTTTTAAGAATGATCTTATTGAGAGACATTCTCCGCCGAGAGTCGCCGTGGTTTCCTGTTTCAACAGTGCTTGAACGGAATGCAGCGTTCATCCCACATCCTGGCCAGCCACCTAGATAGAGCCAGTCCTCCGCCACCAACTCAACAGTGTTCTCTGACAGCTCCAAGGCCCCCCACCACCGCCCCAGCGCCACACAGCTGCCATTGTCGCTGCCTCTCCTCAGCCCCCCGCCATGATGACCGTGTCTGCCTCGCAGGTGCACCAGAACTACCACCAGGACTCGGAGGCCGCCATCAACTGCCAGATCAATCTGGAGCTATACGACTCCTCCGTGTATCTGTCCATGTCTTTCTACTTTGACCAAAATGATGTGGCTTTGAAGAACTTTGCCAAATACTTTCTCCACCAATCTCATGTGGAAAGGGAACATGCTGAGAAACTGATGAAGCTGCAGAATCAACAAAGTGGCCACATCTTCCTTCAGCCTATCAAGAAACCAGACTGTGATGACTGGGAGAACAGGCTGAACACAATGGAGTGTGTGTTACACTTGGAAAAAAACGTGAATCAGAAGAACCAGCTCCATGGCTCCTGTGATCTAGCCATTTTGGGGGAAACGGAGGAATGAGGAGGTCCCACTGATAATTCAGCCTCCAGTATAGAAAACTCGCATGACTGAACTTCCAAATTTGGGACGAAATCAACCATCTACGAGATGACTAGAAATCACTGCAGGACCACAAGAAATAAGGGAAGGCAGGAAAATACCTCTCTTCCAAGGGAAAAGGATAACTCCTCTTCATCTGCACACAGTTCAATGGAAGTCATGGAAATGTCTGATAAAGAATTCAGAACATTCATAATGGCAAAGGTTATAGAGATGGAAGAGAAGAGAGACAAGGAACTGCTGAAGAGGAAGGAAAAAGGAGTTGAAGAGTTCCAGGAGGTAAGGAAATTCATGCAAGATCTAAAAGAGGAATTTCACACATTACAAAAGAATTAGATGGAACTGTTAGAGATGAAGGCTATAATACAAGAAGTCAAAATTTCCCTTGAAAGTATTAAAAGCACACTAGATCATACAGAAAAGAAAATCTTAGATGTAGAAAAGAAAATTGCTGGCCTAGAAAAATCCACCATGAAGACTGAGACAATGGCCCCAAAATTTGAGAATAATATACTAGAAATAGTAGATACAATTAAACGTCCGAACATCCGGATAATAGGCATCCCAGAAGGCGAAGAAACTCATAAGGGCATTGATAATCTATTCCATGAAATCCTGCAAGAAAACTTTCCAAACCTGGAGAGGCACTCAAAGATCCATTCCCAAGAAGTACAGAGGACCCCAAATAGAATCAACCCAAGAAGATCTTCTCCAAGACACATTATAGCCAGATTGACCAAAACCACAGA